TATGAAAAGTTGATAATTACATTCCAAGAAATATCTTGTGGATAAGCAAATAGTTGTAATAAAATTCTCATGAATATGACCTGGTTGTCTCTGTTCAATGAAATGATCTTGAACCAATCAAATCAAACTAATTAGTTCACTTGTCTTCATTCTAAAATGAATTAGCTAGGGTTTAAATTTCGAGCTTGTTTCTTCTTAGCTAAAATATATTACATCAATCCAAGTATTATTACCAATTTGATAGTAAAATACACACATACCAGGCTTTTTGCAAGGCAGATGGTTCAAATCCTCCATCCAACAAATATAGCACTTTCTCCCATAGAAGAAGATATACATCTGGAACCAAAAAAAAAAAAAAAAAATCATTTTAGAAAAAGATTTGATCTGATTGATAAAGTGAACCCTATACTTTTGGGCTAAAATCTCGAATGAAATACAATACTAAAAGAATTCAAAGTTCATTCTTTTGACACCTTCAAACCCACCATTTGCCATATTCACTGATTGTCCCTAATGCCAGCTAAAAATCCTTTTTTGGTTGTGCATCCCAAATTCACATTTTTTTTAAGTACATCTCATGAATTCTATTTTTCATAGTTTAGCTCCTAAGCAGGTTCCAGGTGGATATTAAGAATTTTGGCCCATCTTATATTGCATTTTGATAATCTTAAGACTTCAGAAAGCCCATAAGAAATGAGTCTGTTAAACAGAGCCCATAGTTTCATGAATTAGAGCTGTTGGGCCACTTAAAAAGGAGACATGAAAAGATGTCTCCTTTTAACATTTTAAGAGATGTTTCTGCGTCTGGCGTTACCAAAACAAAGAGAGATTACTTTGGATGCAGTCAAAATGATTTCACACTTGACCTTGCAAAATCACATTTGGTATCCCACAAAAAAACCACAAAAAGACACAAATGACGATGCTACTCTAATCAATGCTGTGAGAGTCTTGGCTAGCACTATAGTTTTTGTTGGGAATTTTAATCTCCTCTACGCACTAATTGCTGGATATTTATACACTAATTCAATACACACAAATGAATAAAATGTAAAACAATTAAACAAGCACAACACGCAATTTACATGGTTCGGTCTCTCACTAGACCTACATCCACTTGAGTTGGAAGAAGAATTATCCTTAAAAAAAAAAGGAAATCCGAAAAAGCCTAATTAAAACGATAGGAAGGAGTGAGTCAACACTTCACTAATGAGTCAACAAAAACTATAGTTTTAGACACAGACTGCACCTTTAGTTTAGCAAACTCTATGGATTACTTGCTGATGCTCCGAAATTTGTTTTTATTACTGTCTTTATCTCAAAAAAAATAGTTGACCTTGAGGAAAATAATAATTGAGGGAGTTGATTATTGATTTCAGTCAGTATACTACAATACTGGAAACATGTGATCAGAACAAAAGAAGTAAATAAGTGTTATTTAGACATAACTTTAATAGAAGGGTAACTCTAAAGAGTAAATGAAAAGAGAAATATTCCAATTTGATACTTTTCCTTTTTCTTCCACTTGATATAAACAGACCATGCATCACCTTCAGATAAGGAGAATCCTAATTTAATTTTGACTGGATTATCCTTGGAGCGCTTGTTAATAAAGAACTTTGGCATAGTTCATGTAATCATGTTGTTTGGAAACCCTTCAAAGAAACTTGCTAAGCATATATGTGAATTTGACCCCTAAAAAGAATGTTTCTAGATCAAATCATAGGTACATATATGATCGATCTGGACGTATAAACTATGCAGGACAAACTCATCATCAAACGCTTCAAAGGAAGGAAAAGAGAGAGAAAAAGAAACATACAAAGTGATGCAAAGATTTTACACTAGCTAGTTACGTGAGTTTATTTTGAAACTTTTTATTAGTATAATAAAGGAAGCAAATGGCTAGTTACATCAAATTAAAACCGTATGTAGATATAAAATTCAATAAAGTTATCATAAGAGCATCCACAATAACTTAAATTATTGTGAGTATAATGATCATTTCATAATAACTTTTACCTACATTGGTTTATACACTACAAAAGTGTAGTATAATTAAATTACTATTGAATGATCATAATACATAATCCCTACATTGGTCATTTTTTCAAAAACGAATAAATAAATAAATGGCCTAACCTACAATAATTGCATAATGTCCCACAAAATCATGTATTACATGGTGTAAAAATCCTTGGACCGTCACAATTTATTATACTTTATGCATTGATAAATTTTATAGCATAATAAAGTGGTGATTTACCTACTATTTTCCACCAGTATAGATCTTAAGGCCATATTTGATAAAAATTAGTTCTTAATTATGAATGGTTAATACTGAATAAAAAATATTATTAAATTCATTAAACAATTACGGAATAAGTAATAAACTAATTTTTATTGCTTCTATTTTTTATTTTAGTTCCACTTCCTTCAATAAGATGTTCAATTCTTATTATCAAACATGCTAAAATTAATAAGTACTTAATAAAAATAATTTTAGCAATAAGTAATGTTATCAAATAGGCCCCCAGTCCACAACATATTTCCTATTGGTTTGAATAATTGTTCGGTCGTTTGGCATGCATTATTACAAAGTAATTACACCCTCCATCGCATACCAATGTTAATCAATACAGTACACTATTAAAATGTGACTGGAAGAAATTTAGAAAAGATATTTTCAAGATTTTAGCGATTGGTTTAAGTAGTTTAGCTGTTTACCTACTCGATTAAACAAAATAAATAAAAGCGTCAACAGATGGTCATTTTATTTGAAAAACGCAGTAAAGAAATCTCGTAATTTTAGATGTTTTTAATTTTTTTTTTAAATATTTTTTACGAGTCTCGTAAGTAGTTCAGAAACCAAAAACAAATCGAATTGAAAATGAAAATCACGATTAATATATTGGACGACTAAATGTTATTTCCATGATCAATGACTAGGTAATTTGGTGTGCCCTTAGAGCATCTTCAACCATTACACCATAATTTATATTAAATTTAGTGTAAAATGGAATATTTTAAGTATCTTTTTACACCAAAATTCTTTACACTCTAACTTTGATGCACTAAAATGTCTACCTGTTATATGTTTTAGTTTAAATTTTATTTTTGTGATTAATTAAAATCATGTAATTTGGTTATAATTTTGTGAATTTTGTTCCTTATAATTACTTTTCATTTGATTGTAGAAGTATCAATTTTTTTGAACTTTTTGTTTCATATTCAATTTTAATGATAACTAAAAATTATTTTTTAAAAAAATTAAAATTTATATTCAATATGGGTCTTATTTTTAAGATCTCAACAAAATATTTAATATCATATAATTTTCATAACATAATTCATTTTACAAGTTTAATTGCATAACAAATATACATTTAGATCTAAATAAAAAGATAGTGCACTAAAAATAGTATAATGGACAATTTACGTACCAAATTTGGTATAGTACTATTCATTGCACCAAAATATTGTAGTGATTTAGTATCTTCGTTGGAGTGCAAATTTTACACCAAAACTCTAAAATTTAGTATTTTGATGTTTTCATTGGAGATGCTCTTAATTGTGACACTAGAATTTACCCTTTCTTTTTCTTCTTTTAAAGAAAACTCTAAAACTTACTATATCTCTCAAAAACAAAATAATTAAAGTGCTTGTACCCTCGTATGCCATCAAGTTATGAAAAAATTGATATAAATTTGAGCAACCAAAACAAAACAAATTAAGGAAAATTCTTAGGATCCTTCGCGGATTTTAGGATCCTTTCCAAGTAAAATACTGAAAACAAAAGGCACAATTATGTCTTAGCACCGAAGCGGGAGCATATCCAGGCACTATGTATTTGCGGGAATAAAATTTACCACTTGAATCAGGTAAAAGTAACTGAAACGTACGTTTCTACCTTACGTATTGCACCCTTCAACTTTATTGATGTACTACTATAATAAAATGGTTTAACATCGGGTAATGCATAAACTTACCAAATAAAAAATATTGCTTTGGCAAAATGTTAAAGGTAATATTCCCATTGGAATAACAGAGTTAATCCTGGTCATATAGGGCGATTGATGTAATTTCCTTAACAAATTTAGAGCATCTTTCTTAATTTTATACCGACCAACAATAATGAATTCAAGGGTATAAGGAGATACGGAAGTGAAGGTATCAGTCATATAAATGATTATTAGGAAACTAATCATAATAAATAATTAATGTACCACGTTCAATGAATAGCATGAAAATACTAAATAAGCTAATGAGTATGAATAAAATCGCCTTATTGAAATCTCACCTTTAATAATCTCAAGATAAAAAAAAAAAACTTAATTTAGGTTATTGTTAGAAAACATTAATTATTGAGAGATCTTACCCAATCAAACTCTCCCATTGTTCATTTTGCACTTTTGTGCATTGCGCATTGTATCATATTGTCCATTTTTAGGAGTTGTTCAACTGAAATTAGCAATGGAAACGAATCAATTATAGTTTTCGTATCGTCTTATTTACGATACGTTTCAATTTGTTAGATCGTTATTTATATTTTTATTCACATGAGAATGATTGTAACCGTTGGATAATTAACTAAACTGTCTGATTCGAGTTTGAGTATAAGAGATTTCAAAAAGGAAAAAAATAAAAATATATCACACTCAACACATTTGCCACAAAAATACTCAAATGTTAGTGTATAAGTCTAGAAGATTGTCGTTAAATAAAATTTCTGAAGTAATGGCACCACGTCTTTTGCTGCTTATAAATTCTCCGCCCATCTAACGTCCATTTTTAGCTCAATTTCCTTTTCTCTTTTTTTAAACATATATATTTGTTCACATCCCTCCGAGATTTTGGAGAGAGAAATTAAAACTTGAAAAAAAAAAAAAAAAAAAACCGAACAGAGATATTCTTCTTCTTTCTTTCCGGCGACCAACCTCGCCGGAATTTCTGAAAGAAGGCACACCAAATCAGTATCTCCGGCCGAGCCAGCAATAATGAAGCAGAGACAGAGACCGAGTTCTTCAATTAAACCCGAGAATGCTACTCGCCGAGTTGACTCGGACCGGAACATTATTAACAACAGGGGAAAAGCTTCGAGAGATGTGAATAATAATAAATTAGAAGGAAAGAATCATAATAAGCTCCGGAAGAAAAGCGCGTTGGTAGATTACGAATCGTTGCCGGATTATATGAAGGACAATGAGTTCATCAGAGATCATTACCGGTGCGAATGGCCACTGAACGACGTCGCTCTCAGCCTCTTCTCTGTTCATAATGAAACTCTCAATATCTGGACGTCAGTTCTTCTTCTTCTTCTTCCTCCTCATTCTTTTTTTGCATGTAATACTAATTGCGATTTTCTCTGTTCTATAAATTTGAATGAATTTGAAGTTCGAATTTTCGGTTTCTTCTGTGATTTTTTTTCCGTCAGACATTTGGTCGGATTTTTAATCTTTGCCTGGTTCACGGCGGTGAGTTTGACGGAGAAGGCAACGGTGGAGAATTTGGTTGGGAATTTCTTCAGGTGAGGGCACTTTAGTCATTTCGTAATACATTTCCGTCGTTCGAATCAATTAACTAGTGGTAATTGCTAAATTCGAAACGAATTCTTTGAATGAACCTGACTCAGTAGACGGACGAGCTCTGCACCGTTGATGAATATTACGGCTGAGAAAATCAACGGCTCAGATCCCTTTTTCCAAGTAAGTTTCTAAATAGTTTCAGATATTTCGGCACTAAATATTAAGAATTAGCTTTGATTCGTTAAAAGAAAAAAAAAAAAGCTTTGATTTGTTTCCTTCTTTTTTTTTTGGGGCCTCGAAACCTACATCTTTTAAGTATTTGGGTTAAACCTAAATTTATTATCATACCATTCAAGAAAATTATTTTATATTTCTCTTGCAAAAAATTATCTAAGTCATTAATATTGTGAATTATTTTTTTGGAGGTTGATAAAATGGAAAGAAGAGAGTTATAATTAAGATATACTGCTTGAATAATTAAGTATTTACTACGAATTACATAATTCTTCCAGACTCAAACTAAGAAATAGAATAATTCACTTCTGAAATGATTGTCTAAATTAGGCATAAATCGTAATAAAAATAAAAATATTAAACTGGACTAATTTTAAAACAAAATGAGGAGATATTTTGAAATATTTGGGCGCTGAAAATTATGAGAAAGGAATATTATAGGACCGAGGCAGCGTCATTAACAAAAATAATAATAGGATAAAGCAATCCTAGGTGGTCGGTCCCATAAGATTGCGAATTTATGGGAGTCGGGGGAGCCCTTCAAGGAATCTTTTCTTAATCATTTTTCGTTTCTTTTTTAATTGATTATATTTGGCTATTTGCTCGTGGGATGTTTTCTGGTGTTCTTGTGAACCTATGTACATCCAAATTTCCCAATCCTTTCGCGTTTTAATAATTTACCTTTATTTTCCTTTGTAATTGTACTTTAGTCACAAGAGTCACTGAAACATTTGGACTTATTTTGCTGTTTTGGCTATTCAAATAGGGCCATTCAAATAGAGCCCCCCAATTGCATACTTTAAAGTGGAAAATGCTGATAAATTCATGTTTGATTTTTGTGATATCACAAGAAAGGGAATCAAAAGTACTTTGGGTAGATAAGATCATAAGATAGTGGTTCGAAATCCAGGTAGTTGTAAGTTGTAACTAATTGTAATTGTTAGGTTGCCTATTAAGACCATACCATATCATATGTAAGACTAAGACCAAGTCACACAACTCGGAGAGATACGCGAGAGAATTCCAGCCTACTTTGACCTTAGATTTCGTATGAATGTAGTCATAGCATCACTTTGCTTCAATTTTTGTTAACCAGTAGTGTTTATTTAATGATAATGGCGTGGTCTATTGCTGTAAGTACCATACAATAAAGTTAAACTTCTGCGCAAATGGCCATGCATCATAGGTGTTTTTTTTTTTTTCCCATTAATGCTAGTGAAGCACTATTAATACACGGAATGCAGACATAAAAGAGTGAGATAGGTGACTTCGTTTGTACATGACTAGGTACGACTTTCTCAACAAACAACTGTTTAGTCTCATGCTGTTTATCTACTTGTTGGAAAGAAAGTTAAGTTTGGGAAATTTAAATGGGAAACTTGTAAGCTTTGGTTTACTTACCATTGTTACTAATCTGAAAGGAAGTATTCACTTAAAGTTTTGCCCTTGGATATTTAACCTATTGCTTTAAATTAAAACAATGGAGCCACAAACTAAATGAATCAACAATCAAGGTTAAGGTAGGTTGTCCATGTTTTGTTCAAGACAACAAGGTGTTCATAGAACTGATTTATAAGTACTAACAATGATAAGTTGAGCTCTCGGATCTGTTTTGGCTTTCAAATTTGTATCTGCTGATTTTGATTGATTTCCTATGAAATATGGACACCTGATACCAATAAAACCGGTAGTTAATGCAATATTAAGAAATTTATCAGAAAAATGTCGCATTCATCTTCTCTTTTCGTTTTGCATAGCTAATCCACCAGAATGCACACATTCCAATTTGTGGAATCCTGGCTGCATTGAGCCGTCACTTATCTTTGCATGAAAGCACTATAAAAATTATATTTCATTGAAAATATGAAATTTAAGACATAAGCCATTACCAGCTAACTCACTAGAGATTAAGCGATTCTAACAATACAGTGTCTAGCAAATGATTAGTTGGTTATGTGCAATCATGCTTAGGTATGTTGATTGATTGGAGGCTTGAAGCATCATCAAACCATCAGCAGTTCAGTTGTTTCATGGAATTTAATCGCCTTCTATGACTGCCAATACTCTCGAACTAATATATCCAATATTGCTTTGCAGGATTCATATGTGGGTTATATTCCTAAGCCCTCAATCTTACATCTCAGTGGCGTGTCTGATGTTATCCCAAAATGGCCTTGGTTTGTTTTCTTAGGTGGTGCTATGTGCTGCTTGATATGTAGCTCCATTTCCCATCTGTTTGCTTGCCACTCCAAACGTTTTTATCTCTTCTTCTGGCGCCTCGATTACGCTGGCATTTCTGTGATGATTGTCTGCTCCTTCTTTTCTCCGATCTACTATACTTTCTCATGTCACCCATATGTGCGTCTGTTTTACCTGACCTTTATTACTTTAGCGGGTATTGTTGCCATTGTCACCCTTCTTTCCCCAGCTCTATCATCTGGCCGGTATCGGTCTTTTAGGGCCACCCTTTTTCTGACCATGGGATTCTCAGGGGTGATACCAGCAGCACATTCAGTCATTCTGTATTGGGACAGTAGTCCCCATATATCTCTGGCCCTTGGATATGAGTTACTTATGGGCATTCTCTATGCTGTCGGAGCAGGATTCTACATGAGTAGGATTCCAGAAAGGTGGAAACCCGGAGCATTCGACATTGTAGGACATAGTCATCAAATCTTCCATGTATTTGTTGTTGCTGCTGCCCTTGCTCATAGTGCTGCCACTCTCTTTATAATGGACTGGCGTCGAGGCTCACCAATGTGTTAGTGTGAATGGTGTGCTTAGCTAGACATGTAGCGCATTGAACATCGGATTTAAGTATTTAGTGTGTTTTCTCAATATCATGCATCTTTTTATCATCGTGCACACTAGGTTTAGAATATTGAGGTAATTAGGTTCTGTGGCTTTTGTTGGAAAAAGCTACTGTTATAATAGCTATTATATGAGCAGTTAATGTTACAATGACAAGTATGGAAAATCTTGATAAGACTCCAGAAAGAATTGTATGAACTTATGAAAGTGAAGCGAGGCCGTATACAAATGCCTACGGCTATACTCAAAAGGGAAACTTATAACTTCAAATTCCTAATGATCAGAACAAATACAGAGACTGTGTTGAAGCTATGTTCCCACTTCACAGAGATCATATGCAGAATGCCTGGAAGTAAAACTGGCATTTAAAAGAAGATTGCTCTTACTTGGTTGCTGAACCGAACTGTCAGAACTGAGCTAAATTCTTCCACCACTACGATTCTCTTGGCAAAATTACCCCCGAATGAACTTCACCTCAACGATAACTACCAAATCCTTCTGCCAAGGAACCAATCTGTTATATACATCATTTAGCTTCCTGTATTCTCGTAATAGAAGATCTACTCCTGGTCCATTCAACACGTCTGGCGAACGGGATAACAAGCTTAGCTATCTTAACTCATGTCTTAAATATACACCATCGCCTCGGTTGCTTCTGGTGTCCGTGGCACATCTGCCACTTGCCTATAGACAAATGGGTAGCAATTATCAAACAAATTCTCAACTTTTGACCTCAACCTGATTCTCGGTTTCCCCATCACTATAATCTCCCCAACATTCTGCTTTCTTTTCCTCCGCAGCATTAGTACCGCAGCTTTCATTGACAATAGAAATCTCGGAAGTTTGGATCCCTGTTCCCAAGGGCTTTTCTTCAGTGTTGCTACATGATTTTTCAACAGCTCCAGTTTCATGATCAAGAGATTTTTCACTAACTTCAGTCTGATCCTCTCCCTCTGGCTCCATTGATGACCCAACAATTGGTTGGTTACTGGAGGAATCCTCAGCATCCGCATTTGATGCAAGTTCATTCTGATCTATACCATCTTCTTCAACAGTCATAGTCGACTGAGGTTCTGATGAATCTATTAAAGGTACAGGAAACCCATTTTCCATCATCTGAACAGCATTAGACGACTCGAGCTGGCTGTTTGGAGACAACACCACACCATTTTGTTGCATAGAGTAAACATTTGTTAGAGCAGCAGCATTATGTGGGTATGTTACAAAACCATTTGGAGCAACTGGATACCCATTATACCATGGATAACCAGGTACAAACTCAACAGCATGCGGATTCATTAATCTTGGTGGGCCTAAGTCACCAGTATCCCCATTATGTTCTGTACCGTGATAAACTGTTTTACCGCGAGAAACTCGATTTCCAGATCTGTGGTGTCCACCTGACAGTCGTGGACCATATGGAACTCTTGCACTGGCAGACTGATGAGGGGATCTACGGACAGGATTAAATGGCAGCATTGGGGGAATGTTTACTGGAGGAGGCAATATACCTCCATGCTCTTTGAAACCTTGAACCGGGACTGATCCAAAAACTGAATTTGTTGATGGATTAAAAGGAGGTGCAGCTGCGGAAAGCTTCTTGCTTGTTGCTTTTCCAGCCTCAGAATCACTCAGTATTCCGGCTTCACTTGGTGAAGGAGTAATTTCAGTATCTTCATTTGCTTTGTTAACCCCAGAGCTTAGCGTAAGGTCATCAACCTTTAGACTAAGATTCGCCTTTTCATCCCTCAGTTTCTCAATTGGGACAATTGCATCTTTTTCCTGCCATGCGGTAGTGGCTTCCAATTTCCTGAAAGGTTCACTCTCTGGTGAAGTTTCGCCACATTTCTCGTTTTGCATTTCAGCTACCTCCCTTTTCAGTGCACTATGTTCCATTTTAATGGAATGACCAGAATTTTCACCTTCCAAATCAGAACCACTAGTGGATGCTTCTTTGCTTAGGGTAACACTGTTCTCTTCATTGCCTAAAGGTACTTCAGAAGATTTTGCACTAGATACACTATTCTTTAGCCCACCTGAAGATATCAAGGCCATATCATTTTCATTTTCAATTTCTTGTGTCTTATTGGAGATGCCATTTGTTTGATCAGCGAGATCAACAGGTAATTTCCCGTCATTGACATTTCTCACGTCTTGTTTGCCCTCATTTTTCATGCCTGTGACTGCATTTGCAGAAGCCACGCTTGTCTTATTACCTGTTTCAAGATTTGCACCTGAAGAGCTTCCATCTGGCAACATTTCAGATACTGCCTTTACAATACTGCCAGGTGGAGCTACTGCGACATCTTTGTAGGAGAAAAGCTTTCCCGCTGCCTGAACACTAATTGAAGATGCTGGGTAGGCTGGACTAGTGGGAGTTGATTTTGTGCTAGCTGCTTTCTCTCCACCATTAGCTAGATTAGTCGAAGAAGTTGACTTTGGGCTGAAGCTGGAACTCTTCATATACTTCTTTGGAGCAGAACTGGAAGTGGAAGCAGCAACAAACTCATTAGGGGATGTCCTTGGGGATAAGAAGTTCGTGCTTTTACCTCGGAATTTAGATGAATGGGAAGCATTCATGAAGTTGGTGTTCAACTTTGCTAGGCCCGGCCTCCTAGAGCCAGATGGCTTGCGACCCGCAGGTGCCCGACCTTTAGGAAAAGCTTCTTGCCACCCTTCCTCAGTTATTTCATCTTGTATAAGATCATCTAGCTGGTTCAAAAAGTTTTTTTCTGATAAAGTGACATCAAGGCTGTCACTAATGGTTTCACTAAAAAATGACTCTGGTTTGTTCTCAAGTTCAGATTTGTTATCTTCATCTCTGGAGTTCTCCATCAAGGGATGAGTTGGTGACAGTGATTCATCCATGCCGGATTTATCTTCAACAATCTCCCCATGATGTCCTTCTTTGCCTTTAACCTGGTTTTTTTTTTTTTGGGGGGTTAAAATATGTATGTGTAAACCATGACGGAGAGAAAGAGTAGGGAAGATGACAACACAGCAAAAATAAGAGGACTAAATGAAACCAACCTTTGCACGAGCTTGTTTCTTTTGGGCATCTCTTGCTTTATTTTCAGCATCTGGGGAAATATAATCCAGCAAATCTGACACACTGATACCAACAAAGAGAGGAAGAATCATATAACATGTTCACTGTTCAAGAGGGCATGATGCTATGGACATGATATAACACCGTGTTGGTAACAGAGTAATGATAGAACAAGCACTGTTCAGACAAGTCTGAAATTCAGTGTTTGTGTACTTTTTCCAACTTAAATGGCAACATGAAATTGACAAAACAGCGGGAGAAAACTTCCCATGACTTCAAAGTCTTTTTTGAGAAGGGTATCCAAACCCATGGCACTGCAATATTTGAATTGTGCAGAGATTATAGCTAGAATAAATAAGTCACTTTTTAGGAACCACATGTCTCTTTGTTGGAAAGTTCACAAGAAAAACTAATGTCTTACTGCAATGAGTACATTTGCGGCGTGAAAACAGAAAAGTGAGCATGAGATTACCTTAAATGTCCTTTGCTAGATATAGAAGCATCTGGCTTTGGGGTACCATTCTTTGCAGCTTCTTGCTGCTCCAGGGCCTTTGATTCAAAATATTCAAGCCACGCAGCCGCATCCTATAGAGAAATCAAATGAGATTATGATTAAGTCACCTGAAAGGTTTCGTGCTCTGTTGAAAATAGTACAGGAAGTTGTATCACCTGTGTACGAAGATCATCTGGCCCAAGTTTTGCCTGAAGAATTTGAAGAGTGGTTTGTTCATGCTGAACACTCAATGTATACGCTTCCATCAAAGAGAGAGCAATTGCTATAGCATGATAGCTGGCAGCAGTCTGAAATATTCAACATGAATTTAAAGGTGCAACATATTAGGAGGAATCATTCTTTGTAATTGCACATCTGGTAAAATATGCCAGTAACTTAAAAGTCCAACTAAATAGCATAACACAAATATGTAGACTTGAATATTACAAAATCAACTTTTCACTTTAAAAACATTTAAAACTAGTACTATATCTTTAGACTGTATAAATAAGAGGACTTCATATATAGGAAAAATGCCGATCAGAAGCACTGAATTACCACATCTTTTTACATTCCTAATAGAAGCACTGAATTACCACATAAATATATTCTATCGTCCAACATTCATCATAACCATGTCTATTCATTAAGCTTTCACCAGCTAACTCCAGAAAAGTATTTACTAGTGACAACAGTGTGATATTACTGAACAAACAAACAAATCTGTACTACTTATACGATTCAGCTTCTTCTCTCAAGGAATTAGAAATTTCAATGGCCCCCCTGGTAATAAGTCTGTTCAACTGCTCAAATGCCTTCAAGGAGACAGCTTTTTATACAAGTCTACAGATATAGAGTTACCTGTATATGATCAACTCCAAGAAGTCTTTGGTTACACTTCAGAGCTTCATGGAGGTATCTCAGAGCAACATGTACATTGCCCAAACCTTCTTCCATCATTGCAACATTAATATAGGTGGCAGCAGTATTTGGATGAGACGGTCCACAAGTTAGGTGCAAAAGGTAAAGTGCACGATTGACATACCTAGAAGGAAAATGGGGACATAGCATAAGACAGTATGAGGGTGCCAAAGATATATTTGCTTTCAAGATTTGAGCAACCAGAAAAGCATATTACAAGAATACAGACACTATGATGCCCTGAAATGAATTTTGCATGTCTATCTAGAAAAACAACACTCTCACAGAAGTTACAAGAACACAGAATCAGCGCAGATTCAACACGTATGAAGCAAAGCAGACGACCTAGTAGATCACCCCCAAGATTCCATATGACACCAAGAAGAAAGTATCAAATGAAAAGGTCGAACAGAAAGACACAGGTACATCTGTTTGATTGAGCTTCCCTTAGTAAAATAGATAATTAAGCTTTCTCCTGCTATTTTAGGTTCCATTTGTTTTAAAAGCAACCATGCATGTCTACCATAATATATGTTGAAGATGTTTCTCTAAAATGTCAATGTGTTGTTTAGATAGACATACTTCAAGGCCAATTCTGTGTGCTGAAGCCGGTAGTAAAACACAGCCAAGTCACCATAACTTTTCATTGTGTCTGGATGATCAAGCCCAAGCTCCCTCTCATTGATATCCAAAGCTTTTTGCTGATAAATAGTAGCCTGGAGATTTTTTTAAAAAAAATGTCAAGGCAGAGAATCTGAAAGTTATGCTACCAAGTACAACAATCTTATGCTTTTAGGATCTACAAACTAAAGGTACTACTTTCTTGACAGCATCTACACTTTTTCCAACTGCAAAAGTAAGCTTATGCAAAAATACATATATCAAAGTATAAATTCATCTCTCTGCACCTTTTAGTTGTGCTCCCGTGAATCTTCTAGAATTGACTAAGGTAAGGAAAACCAACTGTAACTTTTTTGGTTCACTACAGACATACTAATGACAGATATATTCAATGATTAAGCAACAAAGATCTCCTTAGTCCACAATACCGAAATGCATATTCTTACCCCTACAACTTGCCTTCATAGCACGAGATCACTGGCTAGCCCAATGTGTAAGCTTTGAAATATTTTATTTTCTTTTTCTAGAGTCCTAGATCTTAAGAGTAAGTCAAAATTAATTTCTTTCAAACTTAATAATGGACTTAACTTTAATCGTGCATTCATAAAACCAAGAATCTTACATGGTTTGTTATTATTTTGATCAATTTAAAGTAGATATAATCTTTGATCCATTGAAAAAGCAGAATACTTGGTTGTTCTTTCTTTCATCAGAAAAGTATTCACTTTAGCTCCATTGAGAACTTAAGGGAAGGAACAAGGGACAGTATTGTGCCAACTGCCGTAAACTTGTGCCCATAAAGAGTTCTGAGACTATTAGTGGTACCTGATTAAAATCCCCAGTATGATAGAGAACCACAGCCAGAAGACTATATCCTCCTGCTGTCATTCTATGGTACGGCCCACAAACTGAAACTAATTTGGTAAGAGCCTGCAAAAGTGACACATATAGAGTCAAACATGATATGTGATACAAGCGATGATTTAGTAGCAAAGAAGACAAACTTAATTGTTACCTTGGTTCCATAGTTAACAGCATCTTCCAATTTGCCTTTATCCAGTGAGGTTTTGGAAGATTCCAACAAAGTACGTCCATCCGCAGATGAACATGCAACATGCTGTATGAAGCTTCAATATTGTCAATCGATCAATAGGTATTTCTAAATCTTTAGCACAATTTGACGTCAACAAAATTAGCTTCTTTAGTACCTTATAAACAGGAATCATGCTTATAATGTCCAACTTGTTGAAAGGAGATGAAGAATCCATGTCATAGTCCCTTGGGACAAGCTCTAGACCAACCTGAACAAATATTTTTTCTTTTGTAAAACAAAGAAACGTTGCACGACAAAGATGTTTTCTTTTGTAAAACAAAGAAATGTTGCACAGGATTGCACTTTGGCATGAAGCGAACTCTGGGTTTGAAAAGACATATACCTTGTGGCAAATCCCACGAAGAATGGCAAACTTTCTTAGATCATTACAGCTTTCTTCCTTCCATTTGTACCCATATCTATTTAAGAGAAAAGCTTCCACCCACTTCCATTTCAACTTATCATCATCGCGAGTTTCAGGATTAGAATTTCCTTTGGATGGTGTACCTAAGAGTACATTTAAACATGATGCTATTGACACTGCCAAATCTCCAATATGATTAACTGCTGATACAACAGCTTGCAATATATGTTTATAAGCTCGAACAACCATCTCATGTACACAGAGCGATTGGACATGAGGGAGCTTTTCTGAAAGTTCAACCTGACACAATCATAAAAGAGAAAAAATAAGTTTTGGAGGGTGATCTGGGTTTAAATATCTGAACATTGAGCCAGTAAAATTGTCTCTTTAGCCGATATATTTTAGCTAGAAAGAAAATGAAGGATGAAATTCAAATTTCATGCAACCTACAAAAGAAAGGAAATCTGATTTCTACTTGAAACTAAATTCAGTTCACCAAAATTCCCTTCTTGGTTACAGAAATTGATCTCCATGCTCAGTTTTTGTCATGACAATGAACTCTTCATGCTATACTAATCATCAATTAAGGTAGGCAATTGCATTAAGCATGGCAATGCTGGTAGGATCATATGGAAACAGACTTTGCATTAAGATTCGTCCACTTCAAAGATCATACGAAACTGCAGTCTAAGTTTTAATTTATCTCCGCCAAAACAATAAAAAGCAAACTAAATTACTGATGAAACCAAAAATTTTGCATAATATTTCCAAGGACACATACAGAATCTCTAAAGTTTTCGTATTTATTTTCAGTTCATGTTCTAGTTCAAGGCATAGGCATTCAATGAGTCATTTTACAAGAATTTAATATATTTCAGTCATAACACAGAAGCTGTACAACTTAGTGAAGAACATGAATAAAATCAAGTACCACACGTCCTAAGGAGTACATTTGCAAACCCCTCGTATGCATGAAGTCAGTTAATGTCCTTCCATCAACAGGTGAAAGTTCAAGTGAGCCAAAATCAGCCACCTGTCAATGGGGTGGAAACAATATTAAAAAAAGGATGTTAAATTACAAACGAGGTTTAGAAAGTAGCGATAAGTGCGTATCAAACCAGTTTTGGTAGAGCAGTATCATCATAGTAATCGTGGGCCATCTCAATCAACTCGGAGGGTGACTGCCAAGAAAATCAAGTATTAAAAGTGCTCTATGTCATAAAAATACATTGGTGCTCGTCACAATTACACCTTTAGGAGGTGAGACTGTATCACAGACTCTTGCAGAAGTAACTTCCCACATAAATTACAGCAAATTTTTGGGACTGATGCTAGCCAACCTTCAGGTGAAGATCAGTCTCTGACTCTTTCAGGCGCCTGTATGAAGTTTCTGGAAGTAGTTCTTTCCACATCGTTTCTTTTTCCTCTTCCAACTTTTCCATTTCTTTCTTGCACATATCAGAACCATCACTTGCAGTGTCTTTTTTTACCTCAGACTTAGATATTCTGTCATCTGATTTCTTTTTGATATCCTTGAGTAATCCTCCATTTTTCCCAAGACCCTTTACAGCTGGCTCAACTTTAGCTTCATCTCCTTTACCAGCATCAGTTTTACTTTGACTTTGTAAATGTTGTACCCAGCAGGCTCCTAACTCCCATCGAATAGATTTTGTCCGTTTATTGTCCATGCCTTGCAATCGCAACAAACTTTCACTTAAAATCTTCCGCACCAATGACCTAGAAGCACGCAACTCGTCCACATCTGAGATGTTTGATCTTTGAATTGGACAAGCTGATTGGGGTGTGGATGTCTGATGCAATAGCATTCTCAAGCTGAAAGCAATGAGCAATTAGTGATTACTCTTAACCAATGTTCCTAGAAAAAATAATTGTAATATCATCTAAATAGCATCATTATGAATCGCAAATAATATTCAGCTAGAGATTGTATGTTCAAGGCACAAAAGTCTTATGGTAACTACAACCTTTGTAAATATACAATAATGAAGAGTACAGGAAATAAGAACTCGTCTAATTTGATATCTCACTACTAGAATCTTTATGGCCTACAACTAAAAATTTTTCGCGCTTACAGAGGTCCCATGGAAGTTATAAAAAAAGCTCTGAGATATTCGACATATCGAAGAACAAATTAAGGTCAGGGATTCAATATATTTTGTAATGCGAAGCTTGTTTCCATTCCGAGTCATGTTAGCAGCCAGCCACTAGGCAAATGTGTATCAGCTTCATTCTGCAGAAACTTATGTTCTTTCCCATAATCAAAAGTACCAACAAATCAAGGAAACCTCTCTAGGGTAAAAAACAATAACAACATCAAGATGGGAAAAGCAGATTCATCATGACAGTGCAGCAGCAAGGCAACACAATCAGCATGTACTTAATTTCCTTTTTGATAACCATTTGGATATGACCTTATGGTCCAATAAAGCCTTAAGGGGCGAAAATGGGGCAAAATGAGGTATCTATGATGTACAGGAATATAGTGCGAGACTGAGAGGTGATTCACTGACTAAGTAGAAGGCGTCTTAATGCTAATCCAATCTGATTCAGAGTAGTATTTAATTCCTGTTATTTTGATTGGACTCCACTGGCCACATCTTTACATTTCCACCCTCTTAATTTTAAGTCATTTTCTGTTCTATTTAGGTGGACAAATAGGATAGATGAATATAATTCATGTGCTAACCGTTGAGTTTATGACTGTACATAACGAATTTAAAATTGGACATCTGATTATAAACACCATAACTTGTTGCACTGACCTATTCACATTCAAGGCATTAGCGCCACCATCAGGCTGGTCACAAATATCAATGTCCTCGGAAGTAAATTTGCAATTTTGATCTTTTTCAGCTACCACTTTCACAATTGCTGTGTAGCCACAGTGTCGAACCACTACAACTCCCAAGGTGGGAATATCCTGAGAGAATGAAATGTAACATCACCATGCTATATTTACAGCTTAAAAAAAGAAATGTCGGAAAAAGTCTTAGAAGATAGAAATCCACAATTTAATGTGAAACTGACATGAACAGTTGCACTTTCATCTGCAGTTATCCCTTTGAGTAAGTTACGCATAGTAAGCTCCTCCTGAGGGATTCCTAATACCCGACTGCCATCATTTTTACAATCCAACTTCAAGCTAGCATCTGGCTCATCCTTGGTCACCTGAATATAAAGATCCCCTATTTTCTCTTCGTATGGGATTGAGCTTGGACCATTTGGCAAATTCTGTTCATTAGCAATGACAGTCCTTATGGCTGAAACTGCTTTAAAGACAGAAACGTCGATGAATAGACTATGAAGTAAAAACGCTTTCCTGTCTCTAATCTGCCTTTCCTCTGCTGTCTTACAAGGCATTGATGCTAAAATTGCAAATTCTTTCGCCCATGGCCGTTGATCATGCATGCCATCTCTTCCTTGTCCGCCACCATTCCCTCCCCAGTTTTCATCTTCAACTGGCAATGGAGGAAATATAGATGGCTGCTCAGCAACAAAGGGTGGCACAACCCAGGTGTTTGCCCGGAATCCATATGGTAGATTTCCAAACTGACAAAGCCAGGCCAAATAAGACAGGAGAAAACATATCACACTACAGAATCTTATGTTAAAACCGGACAAAGATGAAACGCCAAGAACTTCAACCATTGTACTTACTTTGTTATGCTCAGTGAAAGCTTTCATGAGAGCTTTATATGCCTAAGATCAACATTAAGATAAAGCTACAATTCAGGACCAAGGAAAACATAAGCAATTTCAAAGATGCATTGAAGATAAAGAAACTCAGAGGGATCAATTAACAGCAAAAACTTACAGCATCAAACGCCCTGCTTAGTTGTTGAAGCAATCCAACCAAAGAATGGCTCAAAAGAATACGTCTTCCAGCAGGATAAAATCCTTTCTGAGACACCACCACGGTGGTTGGCTTCCCACTACAAACCTTAACCTATAATAAAATTCAAAGAAAAATAAATAAAATTATATTCAATCAGGTTTTCTATCAAACCAGCAATGAAGAAGAAATTTTGGTTTTTACATCAATTTGAAAGAAATCATCATCAGCTTTTCCCTCCAGAAATGGCCGTGTTGATTTCCTAATATCTGCAAAGCAAAGAAAGAATGAGTCCATGAGAAATTCAAGAGAAATTGCAATGAATTAGTTTCTGATTTTAAGGAAAATCTATGCTAAAATTCACAACTCACATTGAATCGGAGGTGTGAGGTGAGAGAAAGAGAAGAAATTGTAAAATTGGCTAAGACGCGGCGGAGGATAGAGCAACGCCGGCGGCGAGGAATCTCCTTCGACGGTGAAAGCCTCATTTTTCGCCGGTTTCGGTTTCTGCGGAGGAGGAACGGTGCCGGACTTCTTGTCGGTGAGTGGCTTGGGAGAAGTGGCAGTGTCCGGACCGGGTTCGGTGTTGGTTGAACCGGGTTCCTTTGAGGCATCTTTGGAACTGATTTTGTTATTGGATTTGGGCCCGCCGAAAGAAGATGTGCATGAAACTATGTCCAGGAGTCGTCTGACGTGGGTTATACCTTGGGCCTCCGTGTAGTCCTCTGTACAAAATGGTTTTGGAATTTTACACAAATGGCCCTTTAGTTTGTGATCATAATATTATTGACGATGAACTTTTTTGATGATTGTCATTGTTCTATATTCTATACTTAATAGTGATATATTTATTTTAATCAAGTTCGGAATTACCTTCAACAATAGAGAGGTGACATGGTTTGAGAGAAGCGATTTCAATCGAATCCTTCAGTTTTGGCCCTCGTACCTGTATATATAGATTTAATTGGTCAATTTTTATTAAAAATATTTGACAATGAACTCTATTGCGTCATAAAATAAAAGAAGGTAATTTTTAGGCACATGTAATCTATTTTAAAGTGGAAGAAAAATCTGTGCTATCATATTTTTGGATTGGCTAAATGATAGCTAACTTAAAGCTTAAACTAGTCATCAAGAATGACATTTGTTTTGGATGAAGCAATGCAATATATCTGCAGTATAAACACTGTTAAGTGAAACGATACGCATAACATTAATAATCATATAACATTTCACACTAGTTAACAACTGCTTTCTGAATTAACTGTTTTATGTAGTTTATAGATTATTAGACATTGCAAACTCTCAGTTGTAATATATATAATATAATACATTAGGGATTTTGGTAATAATGTAATCATTTTTGCGATATAAGGAATACATCTGAATTATGTGTACTATTGCTAATAAGTTAACTTGAGGAAAGCAATATATACATATATTATATGAAAATGCAAGCAATGTAGAGGAAATTAATAAGTAGTAGAACTTTTAAGAATACTTGCCTCGTGTGATAAGGAGTAATTGGTCAAATGGCAAGTCTCAACATGAACGGCCAAGAGTTTCCGCACATCTAAAATCCTGTCCGTCGAGATTCCCTGCCCAAGTCAAAATCCCCTCCCGATTGGTATACTTTGAAGTTTGAAGGTGTGGCAGCCTTTCAATTCATTCAAGTTGTTTTTACTATACAATGGCCTTAAGTTTGTGTATACGTACCTTGAGCATCACTTGTGTATCATCGGGAGTGTCAATTGTTATTTCTATGACCGTAGGCAATACTGCAAAAGGCCAAATGAGAGAAGCAAAAAAAAAAAAAAAAAAAAAAATTATAATTCGTCTTTTGGGACGTAGAGCATTAAGTAATTAAGCAAGCAAACCTTTCTCTTCTTTCTTCTTCTTCTCTCCTTTAGCTTTGTGGGGTTTGGCTTTCCCAGCTTTCGGAGCCATTTCTGCTTGAATATCAACGCAGGAGGGGAGAGTACTACGGCCTATATATAGTAGCTTTTGCTAATAGTAATAACAAGGTGAGACTATGAACTTTGAATCAGACCTAAACTAGGCAAAAACAAAAACCAGACTAAAATCTTCCTATTGGGATGGGCTTAATATCTTCATATGCGCATTTCAACAGAAACGAAGTAGCATAAAAAGTGCTAATGTAGTCCAATTTTCACTAACTTTTCACATGATGGTGGAAAATGCACGAACAAAATGAATAGTGTTTTTCTTTTCATTTTTTTCTGACCATAACAGAGTTGCAAATCCCTTGAAGTAATACCAAAAATATAGTGAAAAGTTGCTAAGAAAAAAAGGGTGGGGGTCACACTCTTTGTTGTTCCCTAGTTTTTTTTTTTTTTTTTTTGAGATGAATAGTGTGGGGAAAAACACAAAGTGAAAAATAGAGACGCAAGAGAGAGTTTTTAGAATTTTAGGGAGATGGTGGATAGGATAAGGTGTAGAAGTGAAACCAATTGAGGCAGCAACTGTTTTTTGGATGTTTTTGTACATATTTGCAACTGGGAATTTGAGGATAAATCAGCCTCACAAAAAAAGGTTGTAATTTTGTTATCAGAAGATTGGGTAAGGGGGGACTAGAAGCAGCTGAACAGTAGTACTACATCCGTTCATTAATTCATTTGGCCTTATTATTCCGAAGTTTTATGGAACTACATTTTTAGTAAGTTACGGGTTCGTCTTTGAAATTATCATCTTAACTAATTCGGAATTAAATCGGATTAGATTTCTTTTTAAGAAGTAAAACTTTTTGAACGGGTATTTTAATCGTGGTTGCATGTTCATGCTCGAATTTAAACTCGAGTCATACTTAAATTCGTCTAATATCTTTATCAGTTGAACAAAATTTTTGATGATTTTATTTATGAAACTACTACTGAAAGAGTTCTTAGTTGGCATGATGATCTGACTTGCTAGTTGATTACTAATTTATTGGGATAAAGTGATGGATATTTTACGCTTTAGTTTGTGCCACGTTTGAGAAAATTATAGTATTGTCTCCTTCTGTAGAAGAGGATAACAAAGGGGATCTTTAGTACGTAATTTTGTCAGCGTAAAATTTACTAAAATTGGACCCTTTAAATTTCTATGTTCCTACAGGGCTACAATTGTAATGGAGATGGAGCAAGTTTATTCATTCCATGGCACCAAATTTGTTCTAATCTCACTAAGACGTGTACTAGTTGAATAACCAGATTAATCAATATTCCTCGATTCGGATAATGCCTGTTGAACATAAAAATCACCATAAATCAAATGCATTTTCTTGACTTAGATAATCTCTGTTGGATGTGAAAATTGCAGCAAGTAAAAAGAATTTCATAGATAAAGCATAAAGAAGAAAGAAGATCTTCTAGTCTTTAATCTTTATACATGTATTAGTGGCCAGACTAATCGAGTTATGATAATCATATTCATGTGTACACAATGAACTTTGTAACTAATTCAGGATAACAAGATTTTACATAATGGTAAACTCGAAGCTTAATACCAATAATCTACAGTATGTCCGAGTCGTCGATATGGAAATCGATTAAATCTGTAGCCAACAAAGGTAGCCGTCGGCGACAAACAGGGAAAGAATTGATTCTGTACAGCCAATTCCAAATGCAGGCTCTGTGGAAAACATGGCCGCAAATTGTTCGCTCAATGTTATCCAGAAAATCAACCTCGAACCATTCAGACAGATGGAGCAAAAATCATCTTCAATTCCTAATTCTAATTCTTTGCAATCATCATTACCTCTTTGACGATGAGGAACGAGGGAAGTCGGTGGAATTTCCCAAAGTCCTCTGGGCTCGTCCCTGATAATTGCTCTGGTTAGCAAATTGTCATGTTTTGGCTCGCCCAGATAATTCCTCAGGCGAATCCAATACGCCACCGCTTCGTCACTGTAATCATACCAACGTACATCATCCTGTGCCCATTCTTCCGTACATTCCTCGTCTTCTTTGTCGGAATCTTCATCCTCATGATGATGATGATTCCCTTTGCAAGTTACAGAATAAAAAACAGGGGACAATTGGGTTTCAGTCCCTATGCATTCAAACCACCGAAAAACCCGAATTTGCAGCACCATCACAAATCTAGCACCCCAAATTGAAGATCCAAAAAAAACCCTTGTTACTTTTTCTGAGTTGATAATCGTTGGTAAAGTGAGTAGATATTTGTATCCCGAGTTCAGCGGCGGTTTCCGGCGAGAAAAGGGCTGTTCCGGTTACCAATTCTGTAATTAGTTCCGACAATCTGTCCTGATCATCATCATCATCCTCCGCCGCCGATAACAGCCGGCCCAGATCGGAAGTTGTAACACAGTCGCATCGGCGATCGAGGGATTTCCTAATTTCGGAATTTCTCGAATCGGGGCGGTGGGTTCTGTAAACGGTGGTGTCGATTATGTCAAAAAGGCAGAGACCCTGTGAATAATCTTGGAGCATGTTTTTCTTGTCGACGAGCTTTTCGTTCCATCGGAACAGACGAATTTTGGGGCAGTATGTTAGATCCATAGCCAAAGGCAATTCCGTGTGAGGACGAAGTAATTGGAAAACGATGAAGCAACAAAATTTGGCAATTGAGGGGTTTTATAGAATGGGCTTGAATTGAAGCAGTTTAACGCGCCAGATTTTCTCACAGGGTTTCCTATTTCTTTCATTCCTTTCTTGGAATCTTCGGAATGAAGTGTGGTCAGTTTTGGAAATAATGCACTCTTTTTTTTTCCTTTTTTTTTTTTTTTTATTGAAGTGGTATAATGCACTCTGGTGATTTTCATTCAATTCTTAATCTTCGTACCAGTTTTTGAGTAGAACTGTTTGAGGTTTTTTTTTTTTTTTTCTTGGCAGCAATTATCAATTTCCCAGTGATTACTCCAATAAAAAAGTTATACCTTACAAAATATCCACACTAAAAAAAACAATTATAGTGAAAATTCCCTAAATTAATAAACTCTATTAAATAAAAATAATTTCCGTCTCAACTCGGGACCAGTAGAAAAACCAAATCGATAAATTAATAAAATAATATTTTTTTAGAAAATTCCTATTTGAATATAGGTCTCCTAAAAATCATAAATTAATAATGATATAAAATACAAAAAAAAAGACTGAGTTTTAATAAAGTAGGAGGCTATGGAGTTTTTTTTTAAAAAAAATTATAGCTAATAAATTAATAAAATGATAATTAATAACTTATCGATTAAATATAATCTTGATAAATTAATAAATTTTTATTATTAATTTATAGGTTTTTTTTATATTACTATACCAAACTAAAAAGAAAAGTGAAAACCAAAGAGATAATTTTAGGTAAATTCCAATATGTCAGGTAGGGCAAAACCTTATGCAGCAATTTGTTAACAATTATGTTAAAAAGAGTTTCATTATTTATGCTAAAAGTCACAATATTAAAATGTAATATCATAATCTTTCATCCACATTTTCCTATTTCATTTATTACATTAATGCAATTTGACCAGAAAACATTCCATCTTAGAATTGACAAATTAATCAATCTTCCTTCACGGATCAACTATTAATCTATGTGTAGTATTTACTTAAAGCAGCAAACACTAAGTACACGGGTCAGTTCCAGAATTAAAATTTTCCCTCCAAAACTTCTCAGGATTCTCAGTACAAAACCGAATAAAGGAGCATATGCCACGCGGCTTCTTATATTTGCAGAAAATTTTATCACTGAGATTAGTTATAGCAACAGCAAATTTTAATGAAAGTTTTAAAATTTAAAATCCCTCAATTGAGGGAGGAAACTAATTTCATACGTTGGGAAAATAAAAGTCTCTATAAATTCATTGTCACTGTAATTTATGTTAAAAATTTGTTCATGCCCATTTCAAGAAAATAAGTCTTTTCAGCAAGGAAACCGGAAAAATTAACTGCAATAGAATCCCTAATTTACTGCAACTTCATTGCTGAAAATCAATGCGGGCTAATCCTAAAAGTATCTCCCATCAATCACAATATTTCGATTTCAATTGTAAAGGATCAAATCGATTCTGTTATCCTCTCTCTGTCAATCGGAATTCCAGAAAAACAAAACAGATCCATCCGACCGCACCAGTGAAGATGAGAATGGGGAAGATGACTCGCACCACCCACGATGTCGTTCTCTCTTTCAACCCCAAGCTCCAAGGAAATAGCGTTGGAGGTTTAGGCTGCTCCGCAAGAGGTTCAGTTAGTGAGTTCATGAGAAATTTCTTCCCGTATAATCCCCTATTCCCCTTTTTGATTTATTCATCTCGCTTTAAGTTCTGATTTATTCATCAAGATTGAATCAATCGCATCAAAATCCAATCTTCCTAATCACTTTCAATTTTTAAAAAAAAGGCAAAAAAGAAAAATTTTTGTCACCTCTCTATTTCCTGATTCATTCTCTTAACTTCGGATTGAGAACCAGGAGGGGGTGAAGTATTCATTAATTCAGGAGGCTGAGTTTACATTCGTGAGGAGATTGAAGATGAGAAAAGAATGGGAATCTTCGAGGATGACAAGCCAGCCGTGGGAGGAGCACAGCAGCGACGGTGGCGGTGGAAGGCTATGGAGAGGCTACACCGGTACGTTAACGATTGTAAGTCTGAGATCTGTAAGAAAACTGGGTCATTAGTTGTTAATCAATTAATTTCAGGTATAGTTCTTTTACAATTATTTTGGACCTCGGGTTTAGTCAAATGTTATCTTGAGTTTTGCTAATGAATCTGTTCATTCAACTTTGGCTTTCTTTTTTTTTTTTTTGGCACGATTTTGGTTTCATGAATTAATTATTAGTTTCAATTAAAAGAATCAGTTTAACATTCAGGGCACATATGGATTCAAGTTGATTTTTTTTTCCTTTGCCATTAAATCCGATGAATATTTGGTTTGATCAAGGCGAAGGTGGTGTAGGGTAGAGGGATAATATCAACTTTATAAACTTAAGTTCTTATAAGAATAAAGGGATAAAAGGATCTTGATAAACCTAATTTCTTTGTTTCGTTTGCTCCCAGTACAAGAATTCAGAATTTGGAGAAGAACTACTCCCAGTTTGTTTCATTCCTCATCTATGTATCGTTGGAAAAATCAAAGAACGTAGAGGTTTGATTTTGCTCCTAATTCTCTTTTATCCTACAGATTCTTATTTTTTGTGTGGAGGCATTCAGTTTTGGCTGTGGTTTTGAGTACTGGGATATAATCCCTTATGAGAATATGGAATTGTTGGTGCTTGTCACTATTTCATGTACACAAAGATGCACACTTTCTTCGTGCTGTTTACACTCAATTTCGCTTAAGGGCTCCTTAAATTCATGCCTTGTCAAATTACATACACTTTCTTGATTTCAGGAATACTTATTGGAGGATCTAATCATCCAGCATTCCATGGAGCTAGCTGAAGTGAACTTGGCTCAATGATAATGTGCTGAAACTGAAGTAATAATCCCTTTTACTTAATGAAAGAAGTATTTTCATGTAACTGTCTTGAACTTTCATATGGCTTTCAAAGTTAAACTTAAAAGTCCTTTTTCAATAGATTTATGTACTTGCTCAATTCAGTGATTTAGAATATTGATCATACTGCCCTCTTTTGTTTATTTATGGATTTCTTAAGAAATAGGAGCTCGGTGCAACAAATGGTTGCTTGATGTTCTTTGGGAGATCATAATGTAGCAAACATGCCACATGGATAATATTAGTTCCCTGATGCCATTTTACGCCTGATTAAGATCAGGATCCTAAAACGTTCTACTACAACCTTTTCATCGTTTAACTTTCCATTTGGTTATATGTGTATAACTTTCCATCGTTTCTGTTGACTTCAGTGGATGCGAAAAACCTCAAATGGTAGAGACGAAAAAAGATCTAATGTCCTTTCATGTAGTCTCTCTTTCATCTGCAATCATCCATACAAATCTTTTAAGATTGACTTCTCAACCCTGTTGAAATTAGTGAGTTGGAGTAGAAAATTGCAAGATAGCATATCTAATCAAGGGACAAGCTACATCAATTGCAGATTCGAAATCGGGCGATGGATATAATCTATGAAGATTTTCAAGGTAATTCTTTTGCTGGGTTTGATTATTTGATTTGTTATAAAACAGATATAGAAAATATTGTGTTGCCATCTTTGTAATATTAGGATCAGAAGATACTGAAGTAAGATTTGGTATTAGGATCAGAAGATACTGAAGTAAGATTCTGTCAACAATGTACAATTTCAATGTCAACATGACAGAGGTTTTGTTGATTTTTAATTAGAAGATTTTGCAAAACAAAATTTAGTTTTAAGATAGTTCTGAGATCTGGGAAACAACATTTGTTTAGAAAGAAGAATACTATGAAAAGATTGAAATTGCCCAAAATGGTTCATTTCCTTTTCTCTCTTTAATTCACTATGTGCGAAGTTGAATTATGTCCAACCACCATGGGAATGTTACGTTTAGATATTTTGTCTCGAATTTAGTTTATGGATCATAAATTCGATAGATATGAAGTTAGATAGTGTTGTATGCTTTTTTTTCTTTATTCTTTAATATTTCCTCATTGACTAAGGAACTGTTAATACAGTTTCTATAAAATCATTGCTTTGATCTTTATCTCTTGAAAGTTTTACATTGGGGACATGAAACTTTTATAAAGGTAAAAAGAAAATCTTTACAGGAAAGATATTCAGTTTTAAAATAAGTTCATGAATGCATTTTCTCCGTTTTACATGACAAGCCGTCGTCACACTAGTCAAATACTAATTACCTACTTAATACAATCACTAGTAGTAAAGTAGCAAGTAGGGTCGATCCCACAGAGAAGGAATACTAATTACCAGGTATAAATTACTCCTATTATTATCTAGATAAATGAGGATCTCAGATTTATAAAATTTAAAACTAAAATAAATAAATAAAATAAAAGTAAATAATATTAATTCAAATAATCAAACAAAGAAAACCTAGGACATTGGGTTCACCTACCGAATATTTGGTTTAGTTCAATTCACAAATATCTGACTTTTAACTTCCATTAATCTCACAACGATTCACCTACTTAAGAACTATTCACTCTCGTTTATAATTCTCTTACTTAGATTAACCCTATGACTACTCTTGTAACTATATGGATTAACAAAAGCACATTAAGACCATTAAGAATCAAACATTGCAAAGGTTATAATCTTACTCTCGTAGCTTACAACCTAAGTTTATTATTCCTACGAACTAATACTAATCTTCCACTCTCGCTACTTCGATTAATATCTTCAGACATGCAAATAGTGGCCAATTACTTACACAAATTAAAACAAGAATAACAAATATTAATTAATGAAAAAGTCAAATAATAATAAACCAAATAAACCAAATAAATTCGGTGGCTACACCCAAGCCCTAGATTTAAAGAATTTAGCCACTAAACATTATCAAAAGTAATTCAATAATATTTAGAGACATAATCCAAAAAAAAATAAATCTAAATTAAATAATTAAAACTAAACACAATAAAACCCAGAAGAAGACAAAATGACCACCGAA